GCATCGGTGTGAATTTGCAGCATCATGAAAGGAAAAGTCATCTTTATCCTCTGTCATGCCCGGATTACCCAGAAACATGGTGGGATTTAGGAAAACAGCTCATTGTCGCATAAACATGTTTTTAATTTCCTCACATTACATTTACATTTAGACAGGTGAAAGGTTAACCCTAACCCTTATGTAGCCCTCTGAGAGCAGCGCAACCTATCCTGACTTGGTCTCCAGCACAGGTACTGACTGAAATCCCCAAATCCAACTGAACAGCCTTTTTGTTAGACGCCTTTCCCAGTTCAATCTGTCAAAGTTCACACGTAACGGTTAGTTCCTCTAAACAAGAGCAAAAAGCGGATCTTCTCAGTTCCTATCTTGGGTATCCTTTCTGTACATAGTTCTGGTTTTGTTCCTTTTCCATTTCAACAGTAATGACAATAAGTGTGCCATTGCATAGGCACACTTAATAATAATAATTTTATTATTATCAGTAGTAGTAACACTCTATCACATTTTCCAAACTATTTGTCAGGTCTTAATCACAAAGATTCTAATTATTATGCTGAACTCAGTCTGCTATTTTATTTTTAACTGCAAGCTTTCTGTCAGCATATCTTGAACATAACAGAAAAACTAGATAGTAAAAACAGACACCCTCATTCAGAGATATTATCAAATCATAACATCACGTCAGCACTGCCTGATGCGTCGATGTGGTCAGCAGCCTTATTTCCTGTTGCTGCATGGGAATGTACAGTCACCAACAGCCAGAGGTATTTTAATGTGTAGTCTCACCCCCGTTTAATTTGTGTCTGATGTAACCGATGAGAGATACAGAAGTAGAAGGAGACAGTCTTTCTCTGCGGCAGTCACTTACACACTGTTTTGGTAAGAAAAGAAGAAATGAGGTTTTACAAAAAGCAATAACTAGTTTGAACGACAATGCCGTCGTTCAAACTAGTTATTTTAGTAAATAGTATAGGGACGGCACATTGGTGGTGATTAGAGTCTTGGACATGTCAAAGATTAGCCACCGAACTGATATGATTGGATTAGTATTTTTTTGTAATAGCAGATACTCCCTCTCAACACCTTTGTGGTCAAAACTGCCCCATTGAAACCAAACGTTTGAATCTCTCTGCTGTTCCAGTATAAAACCACAGATTCTGTAATGTCAGCATGTCATTCTGAAAACAAAAACTAGTGATATTTGACATTTTTACTGCAATCCACCAGATTCCCCATTGTAGGCCAATGCAGGAAATTCTTGTATTTTTGCCAGTTATATTATGGAGCCGTGCGACCACCAGACTTGTATCGACGCGTGTCTGAATTAGTGAGAAGATGCGTTCATGTGTGCGTGCATGTGACGCTGTGTAAATGTGTAAACATGTACTGATCATTTCAGGAGTGAAGAAAGGTCATCTTGGAGCGATGTGCTGTGAAGTGGCGCTCGAGCAGCGACATGGCCTCCTGCCCTTGCTGCACTCTAGCATGCAGCTTGGCTGAGGGGTCATTTCATTAGTGAGCAGAGAAGAAAGACCTGCAGCAAAGAAAAGGAGAAAAAATGAAGAAACACTTTAGTGCAGAAGAGGGTTTAGAGAAGGTCTTGCAGCCTTTACCTGTCAGGGAGCTGCAGGACTCATCAGAATAAGACAAGCTTAAACGGAGAATGCATACTGCTCAGCGGAGAGCTCCACGTCTGTGAGCGCCTCTGACACTTCCCAGGAACATGGAGAGGACTCAGAGGATCCTGCCCATCCTAACAGTGAGTCGACATGTCATGTCCCGATGCTTGATCTGAGGGTCTGTGAGATACGCTGTCTGTCTTGACCTTTTCTTCACTCCTGACATGATGCAGTTGATTTTGCAAAGGACAAGCCTACACAGGAGGCGTTCAGTGAGTGTCAGGATGAAGTGATGTGGATGTCCAAGAGATATCATACGTGGAACTTCTCTTTTTTGTTTATAGTTGTAGGAGGCAGACCACATGGTGGCCTCTTGACCTGCTCTTCAATCGCATTGATGTCTCCACCTTCAGTGCTGTTCACTGCTGTGGATCCCTCCTGAAACCAGCAAAGAACATACACATGAAGGTTTTCTTAGAGGAGCTGGGGATATCCATGGTGTCCTCTGGGATCGTGCAGAGAAAACACCTGCCATGCTCAGTATCTGCTGCTGCTATAGCAGTAGAGTTACAGCCCGCTGCTCCTGCCTGCACAGAAAACACAGACACTGCTGGTTCTGCACAGGCCTAAAAACAAGGTCCTTTACCAACTGCACAAAGCGTAACAAGTGCATTTGTAGAGGATTCACAGCAGGTGGAATACTGCAGGCCTGTTGGCCTACTGCTGGGAATAAGCACACACACACACACACAGATACATATCAGATATAGATATATATGTATAGAATAGAATAGAGTAGAATAGAATAGAATAGAATAGCAATTTACTGTCATTGTGCATGTACAACAAAATTACGGGTGCTCCATCTGTGCAGGCACTTTGGAGAACAAAGTGTTTGAAGTAGTCCAAAGGACAACAACTTAAATAGCACATCCCATTTGGGATTTGGCAATAGGACACACAGAAGAGTACCAGTTGAGCAAACTGGGAAAATGGATTGGGACTGAGATCAGCTGGTCTGCAGGGTTGCTAGCTGATCTTGACTATGAAGTTTGCTAGAACAGTATTTCTGCTATGCTCAGTATCTTTTGTATGTGAGCAAAAACCATAACCACCCTCTGTCCATGGTCTGTCTGTCTGAACGATGTAATGCCTGTGCATGCCTTCACAGCATACTGGTTTATGACCCAAAGTTTAAAGTGGGGCAGGGTTTCAGTTACATTCAAGAGCCAATGGTCACATTATGTGCAAATTATTTGTGATTTTCATAATTAACTAAAACAAATAAGGCAAAATAAATAACTACTTGAATCGCTTCGCTAATACTAATGTGTACTACTGGCAAGCTACTAAAATATCTAGTTAAACTACTAGTTTAATGTCAAGTTCTCTACTCTGCACCACAGAGGTTGTGCATTAATTATAGTGACATTGTTCTTCAAGTGATCCTAATGTTTGAAAGGTGTGAGGCTGAATGAGGCTGGATGAAAGTTGTTTAAGTCGCTGGTTAAAGGCCCATGCACAACCCTGCTGCGCTGTGGTTTGTAATTCCTCTCTTACTACATGTGTGCTTGGCTGCTTGCCTATGCGGTCTGAAACTAATGTCACAAACAGAATAACACAATATAGCCGAGCCATTTCCTGTTCCTCCTTGTACACACGCTTAATCATAAGTGTGTGGTCCTTCGTGCAGCCTGTTTTCACACTCATGCTGTGATTCAGATCAGCTTTCAGGCAATTCAGCCTGCTGGACAAGACTAAAGCTGAAAGACGAGACTGTTAATATGATCCTTTCACTTAATACTTTTAATAGGGTGTGATTCACTTGCTCACCTACAGACACACACATTATTATTAGATGGGAAGGGGAGAGACTAATGGTTTCAGCAACTATATCAGCTAGCTTACATAAATACAAAATGTTACATGTATAATTTTAATTATTCTCATTGACATGTTGGTTGGTTGTGGCACAGCTAGTTCAGGTTTTAAATGATATGTTTGATTTCTTGTCCAAGTACAGACTATACATGAGATACATGAGAATAAACTTGCTACACAGTTGTGCTAAAGCCTGCCTGCTCAGGTCAGATGACAAAGGTGAGGATTGTAGAAAAAGTTGGGTTTGGGTGCTCAGTCAGTAAAAAAGCACTAAGTATCAAACCCTGTAAATAGGACATTCCCAAAGGCAGGCAGAGTTTTGCACTGTTCCCTCACAGTAAGATGCTCCTGGGCTAAAAACTGTGATTGTACAGATTTCCTTCATCGATGTTTGTTTGCAGGCCGAATGACTCGGGGGAAGAAGCGGTTTGTGAGTCTGGACCTGAGGAACCTGATTGACCTGAGGTGCCATCCAGAGGCGAAACAAGTACTTGGTAAGCAGGGTGCAAGGGGTCAACTATGATGGCCCCGGTTTTCCTGAGACAGGAGGAGCTAGCAATGGCCTGCAGGGGTGGCAGAGGACAGCCAGTGATTTTTTGACCAGTGTTAATTACCCTCTGTGTAGGTTTCCCGTTCTCAGTTGTGGCAGCAGCAGCTATTTTTCCTCAGGACACGGTGGAAGTGCAGCCATTGCTGTGCCTTCTTCACCAGGGTGATGGCTTTGTGGGTCTCCGGAGGCGGAGATGTGGGTGCCCAGAAATGAGAGGGGACTGGACCTGTCTGTGCCTCCTGGAGTCCACAATGAGTTCTTTTAAGCATGTTTATTTTCAGGCCATTTTCTGAGCACCAGAACAAATTCTCTACCTCTGCCCTGTACACAGTTTCATCTCCATCAGAGATGAGCCCAACCACAGAGGTGTCATCGGCACACTTGACGATGTTAGGCGGGTGGCAGTCACAGGTGTATATGGCGTAGTGTAAGTGAATGAGAAAACAACCCTGTGGGGTGACAGTGAGGGGGAGAGGTGGAGGGAGAAGTGGAGGGAGAGGTTAATTGGTATTTCTAATTTGGCCATATGGGTAAAAATGAGCATAAACGCCACTATGTCCATGGGGTACCCAGCCTTTGCCCCCCTGCGTACCTGAGAATGCTAATCTGTTATCTGTATACAGAGCATCATATATAATACACAACAAAATATGATGCTGGTCAAACATTTCCAAATAAAAAGAAAATAATTCTGAAGCCTAGCAACTAGCCTAAATGTAGCTTAGAGATAGATATCACGAAGAAGAACATTTTCTTTCTGTCTCTTAACAGATCCAGAATCACGTGAACCAGTAACCTACTGGTTCTGGTACAATGTTGCTGTTGAC